GGTACCGAGCTCCCCCGGGCACTCAGCACTGGGATCCCTCCTCCATCCCGGATCCCCATTCTTCCCACCCCGTTTCCCCGTTGGCAGCGCTGCAGCCCCCACTTTGTGCCCCGCTTGGAGCACCTCGTATCGTCCCCTGCCGCGGTGCCCCGGTGTCCCCAGCTCCGTGCTGGCTGGGGACAGGGAGGAGGGTGCCCACGGTGGCCCTGTGACCCCCCTGCTCCAGCTGCCCCTTCCAGAGGCCTTGGAGGGGATGCGGTTTTGGTGACATCCCCTCCCTCCCCGTTCGCAGCCCATGTCTGGGGYGGCTCTGGGCTGCTGGCGCCGTTCTGTGTCCGTTTGCATCGGGGACAACCCTGGAGTGACCCCAGGGAGCCAGGGCAGGGGGACATCTCTGCAAGGGCCTCCCCGCCACGAGCTGTCCCCTCGCCCCGCTTCTGTGTCGCCGCGCAGCTCTAAGTGTGTCAGGAGGCCCCCCGGGACCCCCGGAGGAGAGATGAGCGCCGGGAAGGGCTCGTGGGACCAGTCGGCACGTGCTGGGCAGGGACGAGGTGACAGCAAGGTCCCTGTGCCCGGGCCCTGCCGATGCGGCTGTGCTTTGCGGCCGGGGGCTGTGGATAGTGCAAGTGCCAGGGAGCAACACGAAGAGGTTTAGATCCCGGCTGCCTCGGGGTGACGGTCCGTGTGACACCCCTGTGGRGTGGCCGGGCTTTGTAGGAGAGGCTGGACCTGCCGCGTGAGCCCCAGCTCCGGCTCTGCACCGAGGAGGAGGACGGGAGCAGGGAGCYCAGCTTGCCGGGAGCTTCGTGGCGGCCCCTGGCCCCTTTCGGGGCTGTTGGCTTTGCAGGACCCCCAGGGCCACCTCCAGTCGTGCCCAGGAGGACCCTCGGCTGCTTGGTGTGGGATGTGCAGGGAGAGGGCGCAGGGAGTCTCCGTGGGGCCCTGCTGCCCGCCCCGGGGATGCAGAGCGGTACCACCATGGCCCAGCACAGCCYGAGGCTTCGCTCCGCTGGCTGGAGCCGCGTCCCTCAAGGGCAGCGTCCCTCTCTATTGAATTTCCCATCCGTGCCCCTGCATGACCTTGCAAGGAGGTGAGCCAGGCTCTAATTCCGTAGTGCCCCGCTCGGCACAGCTGGGACACTGGGCACTGCTTGTTGTTTGGCTCCCTTTAATCTGCATCCATTGAATGTGCCCACGGTCCGGGTGGTGAGCGGCACTCGGAGCCGCCCGTGGTGCCCCGGCTGTATCCGCACAGGGGGACGTGGGCTTTGGGATACACCTGGCAGCCCTGCACCCAGCAGCAGGCTCTGCCCGGGGCTCCCGGGGCTCGTCCTGCAGGTATTAACCCTCCACATAGGTTGATGGGGCTGTGGGGACGACTGGAAGAAGCCCCATGGAAGCAGGACTTGGCTCGGGGAGCTGCCAGGATGTGGGTCAGGGCCATGGAGGGGCCGTGCGTGGCCAGGGACAGGTCCGTGTAGATCCCGCTGGAGTTGTGGGAAGGATCCGGGTGGCACAGCCGGCTCCACGCCCTCTAGAGCAGGCGCTGCAGTTTCCTCTGCGCTTAAGGCTCCTCATTCCCGGGATCCCATTAGGCAGCACAGAGATTCCCTGGCCGGGGGGAGCCGCAGGGCAGGGAGCAGCTCCGAGCGCCGCTCCACGCTGCTCTCCGTGCCCGCAGGTTCTGCGGCGAGTGCCTGCAGCCCTGCCTCCAAGTGCCCTCCCCGCTGTGCCCGCTCTGCCGCATGCCCTTCGATCCCAAGAAGGTGGAGAAGGCCTCCAGCGTGGAGAAGCAGCTCTCGTCCTACAAGGCCCCTTGCAGGGGCTGCAGCAAGAAGGTAAAGCTCGCGAAGGGGCTGCGCTCTGCCCCGGGGGCACAGCCGCTGTGTTAGTGTCACCCTGCAGCTGGGCTGCCAGGGAAGAGGAGCTGCTTTACTGTCCATACCAGCTCTGCCAAGCTCCCCGTTCAACGGGCCACCCAGTTATGTCTGCAGGATGTGGTGGCCCTTTTGGGAAGGCTGCTCCTGGCCAGGTGGGCACGACTACCCGAGGCGAGCGGGGCTGTGTGGACATAGGTGCCCTCCTAGCTGCATTTGGCAGCAGGCTGGAGCTGCTGTGGGGCAGTGGGGATCTCCAGATACGTGCTGAGGTTTCCTGTAGCGCGAGAGGCTGTGACAAAGCAGCCCTTCCTGGAGGCCAGGCCTTGGTCTTGCTCCAGGTGCTGTGATCCTGACAGCCGTTGGGGAGCTCAGCTGGCAGCAGGGAAGAGGCCCCACGTGGCCCAGCCCAGGGCAGTCTGCTCGGGGACAGTTTTGGGACGAGCTGTAAAGCTGTGATTCATGATGTGTTTACAATCTGCTGCCTTTTCTGGCTTCCATAAACCTGGGAATCTTCCTTAACTCCCTGGCTGTGGCCCAAACATGATCCCAAGCTCTCGGGTGAGCAGTGCAGGGTCTGTCAGCTAGGCTTAGCGTGTTCCTGATTCCTATGTGCAAAGGAGAAGGGAGCTAACGCTGCAGCCTTGCAGCCTGGGTGACTTCTTGTGCGTGACCCTTGAGGGCATCTTGTGCTGGGAGAGCAGCCCCAAACCTCCCTGCTCCCGTTGTGCAAGGATCTGCAACGTGGATGTGTGGGGGCCCAACCTACACAGCCCAATGTCCTCTCTGATGCTGACTGCTCAAAGCTTGGCCAAAGCTGCCCTCCCAAGCTGGAGTGGAGGCTGCAGTGCTGTCTGTGGCTGCAGGGTTTCTACAGCCTCCGGGAATGTGTGTCCTCCCCTTGTTCTGCAGGTAACCCTGGCGAAAATGCGGTCCCACGTCTCCTCCTGCGCGAAGGTGCAAGAGCAGATGGCCAACTGCCCCAAGTTCGTCCCTGTCGTCCCCACGTCCCAGCCCATTCCCAGGTATTGCATCGCCAAGGGAAACCTCCTGCCCTAGTTACTTCACAGGTGCTCAGATCCATCCTTGTTATAAGCCCTGAAATCCAAGGATGTGTTTTACTTTCTCGTTATCCTGTTCTGGTCTCAGGAAGACACACTGGCACCTTTTCCCTCTTGGCATCTGCAGCCGGGCACTGTCCTGTGCTCTTTCAAAGAGGGACCCACCAGGAAGACCTGTGGCTGGGGGGGGGGGTGGCCCTTAATTCCTGAGTTCCCAGCAGCTTGTGGAAACTGGGACACGCTCCTCTGACCTGAGGCAGTGGGGCAAACCAGAACAGGGAGGCTGGATTAGTTTGGGAGCAGTTGGTCCAGACTCTTCCCAGGGCTCTGAGCGTTTCCTGCTCTCCTTAGCAACATTCCCAATCGCTCGACGTTTGTGTGTCCGTACTGCGGGGCCCGCAACTTGGACCAGCAGGAGCTAGTGAAGCACTGCATGGAGAACCACCGCAACGACCCCAACAAAGTGGTGAGTGAGCCGGGCCGCTCCGCGTGGGGCGGCCCTGGAAATCCCAACGCGTCTTAACTGCAGCTAAGGCTGCCTGCACACAGAGCTGCTCGTTCGATTGCACTGCGCTGCACTCCTGCAGCACTTCTAGATTAGTTAATTTGTTTTGAATCTCTTTGACAAGAGGTTAGCTTTGCTAGACACTCCAGAATATGGAGTCTCCTCTGTCCCCTGTGCCAGCCATGGGGCACTGAACTTGCTCTCCCCCAGCTCTGCTGGGTCAGCCCAGCTGTGGGGGACTGAGTGAGGACCTTGCAGCTCTGGCTCCTCCTCAGAGGGGCTTGTGACTTATCTGTGCCACGTACCCGGGGGCTTCGTGTGCTGAAGGATGTGGCAAGGAAGGAGGAAAAGAGGGTTGAACCCCCTGCTTGGCACATCCTGCTGCGGGACGTGTTATTTCGAAGGGGAGCTGCTGCCCTTGTATCACAACTACTCCTACCTTGTATCACACCTGCATTGGCCCCGGGATACTCTGTCTGTGGAGGCTGAGGCTTCCTGGGGGCAGACAGGGGGGTCTGCGCCTTCGAGTCACCGTTCCCTGTCCCCGTGTGCTGCAGGTGTGCCCGGTGTGCTCAGCCATGCCCTGGGGGGACCCGAGCTACAAGAGCGCCAACTTCCTGCAGCACCTCCTGCACCGGCACAAGTTCTCCTACGACACCTTCGTGGTGAGTCCGCCCGCCAGCCAAAGCCGGGTCGCCTTCTCCACATCCTCCTGGGCGCTCAGGAGCCAAGAGCAGCCCTTGCCTTGGTGTGCCAGGACCGGCCCACCTTGCTGTCCATCCCTGCAGCGATGGGAGGAGACGGTTCCTCCTTGGGGATTGCAGGACACGTGTGGCACATGCTAGTACTGCCTTTGGGAGCCCGTGGGAGCAAGGCTAGCTTTGCCAGCATGTCCTATAGAGGGGTTTGAGCCGGGCCTTCACAAACCCAACCCTGGAAAAAGCCACTGAAGAAGATAAACGTTACTGCAGTCTGTGACGATGGGTCGCCTCTTCCACGTGTTCCCTTAAGCTCTTCCCTTGAGAACCCCCTTTAGATGCTTCACTTGGGGAGACCTGAGACCACTTTTCACATGCACCGGTTTCACCCTGCTCACAACTGGGCCTAAGAGCAGAGGGGATGGTAGCAGGTTTGACCCAGGCAGGCGAGAGGCGGTAGAAACAGAGCCAGCATCCCACTGAGCCTGTTGCTCCCATAACCTCACAGCCCCATTTGCCAAAGATAATTGGGGGCAGCCCAGTGGGAGGACCGGGAAGCTCCTTCCCTTGCCTTTTCTCATGGTTTTGAGGGGGCTCTGCGTTCCCTGGCGTCTCTCCTGACTGGCCCCGCTCTGTTTCCAGGACTATAACATCGACGAGGAGGCGGCGTTGCAGGCTGCACTCGCCCTGTCCCTCTCCGAGAACTGAAGGCCGCTGCGGAGCATCGGTTGGACCCACCCGCGCACCCTTTCTCCTCCTGCACACTCGGCCTTCCTGCCGGGGAGCCCCCTGGCCCCTCGGCACCCCCGGAGACCCTCGCCTCCCTCCTGACTTCTCTCTGGGCTGATCCCACCTTGTTTAAGAAGGTGGAGTCTCTTTAGCATCGCGCTGGACCGGTGAGTGAGCAGAGACGGCCGCTGTTGGGAGGAGAGCGCTGTCCGTGCTGAAGGACTGGGATTGTCCCTCGTTTGGGCGTTTCATATCCATATACGGAGTATATACCTGTATCCAGATCTATTTATTATTAGATGCTTTTTGGCACCATTTGTCTTCATGCTCTTTGTTGCAATTTAATAGGTATATAAAACTACGATGCGTTTTATGCAAAAATGCCCTAGTTTTTAAACGGGAATCATCCATGATCTTTTAAACAAAAACGAAGAATATAGCATGGAGAATTTTTTTTTTAAACCCCATAAAGCTGTTTCTGGAGATGCTGCTCTATCCCGTCCCCCCCACTGTGGGCAAGAGCTGCCTTGTTTTCCTGCTACTGCACAGGCAAGGCCAAGAGCAGCCTGGGCTGAAAACCGGAGCGAGACTGTTGTCCTCTCGTGCCCTGTGACTCCGGAGGGCTCTGCAGGGAGCCATGGATGCTCCTGGCCTCCGGCATTCAGCAAAACCTTGTGCATTTTCTACTAGCTCTTGTGATACGGGGAGTTCTTGCATTTTTCTACATTAATGGGTGTGATACCTTTTCCATGTTTTATAGAGCAGGAACGGAAGCTGTTACTCTTCACACTGCAATATCCGTGACCGGGGACAAGAGTATTTTTATGGAACGTTATTAAGAAAGTATATTTTTTAAAAAAACAAACGAATGAACATGCTGTGGATTTGCAATGGGGTGGGAGGGAGAACCTGGGCACTCTGCCTGGGCAATGGGAAGTGCATGGGTTTCCCATTCCATTATTGGGCCCTTCTGTTCCTTCGTGTGTTTCCGTGAAGCGAGTGACGTTGCAGGTGAGGCCGGGACAGCGCAGCACCTTGTAGGCAGAGCCTGTTGGCCGGAGGAGCAGGTGAGAGTCGCAGCAAGGCCGTGGGGTCCCTCTGGGGAAGAGAACTGTGCAGAAAGGGGCTGCGGTGATGGGGAGGGGAAGCAGCTCTGTGTTCCGCAGGAGCCGGCTGCGATCCTAGCGCAGTTGAGCCTCTCCGGCGCCTTTCCAGGCTCCACGTGTTCTCGCCAGCTGGGGTTGCTGGAGCAGCTCTTGCCCAGCAGGGTCTGCGCTGTAAAACACAGGCCTAATGTGGACAGATGGGCTTCCCTCCTCTGCCTGGCGTTTGGCCTCCCGCATGCTCAAAGTTAAATGATGAGCTGTGGTGTTTGAGCACAGAGCCAGGAGCTGGGAATCCAACCCACAGTGAGAACTCTGCCGGGAATGGCCTGGATTTGACTTTCCTCTCTCTGGGACAGTTGGGAACCCGCAGAAACCCGCTGGGCTCCTGTAACTTCTTGGCAAGGGAGATCTAGAGTGGTTCCAGAAGGAGGATATCACGGGGAGACTCCACGAATAGGGAGCAGCGTTAGTGTCTCTGTGGGCAGAACTGCTCCGTGTGGGAGCTGGTGCCCGGGGCTGCATTGGGCAGGACCCCCGATCCATGGGCACCGAGCAGAGCAGCTGCCGTGTGTCCGGGTGATGCACGAGGGGGTCTCTGGGCTAGAATCCCAACCCTGATGTCCCCCCCCCCCCCACAGGATTGCATCTCCCTGCGCTAGGATGTTCTGGGAATAAGGCGCACCCAGGTCGGTGCTGATTTTGGAGATGCTCCGTAGCCTCCCAGTGACCACAGGGATGGTAGGAGGCACCTACGCAGGGATTCCCGCTCACTCCCAAGCTCCTGCCCTTGGGAAGCAGCGGGATGGACGTGGCATTTTGTCCCCCGCTGGTCTGGGCTGCGTCGCAGCACTTACGGAAGAGGCCGTGTCCTTCCCCGTGCTTCTCCTTGGCCAGGTGCTGTGCCAGCTGCTGCTGTCCCCAGCACCACGGAGCAGTCCCCACGCACAGCAAAAATCAGTCCCCGTCTAAAGGGACAGCCGTGGGGCTGCGCCGTCCTTGTGGACCAGCACGAGGGGAGGCCTGATTGGCACTGACCTCTGGGGACGGGGGACACGCCGTGTCAGGAGAGGGGACACGGGCGCGGGCACGGGGGTGCAGCCTTGAACTAAAGAGTGTTTGCAGGGTGGGAGCTCCATGGGCTCCTTGTTGGGAGCTCGCCGGGACACTGGGAAAAGGCTGGAGCTTCCCGGCGGGATCTCCTCCATGGGAGGGGACCCTGGGAGCCCGTCCAGCTGCCCGCGGCGGCTCCGTTTCCCTCCTTCGCACCCCGGCAGTGCAGGGGCCGGGCCGGCCGCTCTCCAAAGCCCTTCCCGTGCAGGTAGCTCCTGCGTGTCATCCCGCTCTCTGCGGGATTCGGGATCGGCGGGATGCAGGGAGCCCTGTGGTGCCAGCGGCCCCGCTGCTCAGCGGGCGCCTCCTGACTTTTTTCATAACTCCAACTTTTAACGAGACGTACTGTTTTTTGAAGAAGAAAAAACAAATCAATGCCGTATTTGTAGCCGAGCGTTTTTCTCAATAAAGGCAGTTTCATCCAGGGGTGGTCTCGGTGTGGAGCGTCTCCGCCGCAGGGCTTTGCTGCTGCTCCCATCGCAATGCGAGTGGGATGTGCTCGGGGCAGCGGTGGGAATGCTGCGGGACGGGGGACAGGGGGAGGTCCTGTTCCTGCAGCCCCGTGTCCTGGGGAGCCCATGGGCTGCTCCTTGTCCCTGTTGCAGGGAGGTGTCCCGGTGCTTCCCGGTCCTTGGGCTTCCCCGGCAGCTCCTTGTGCCCAGTGTGAGCAGCAGGGCCCATAGCAGAGTCCCATAGAGAGGGAAGGGATGGCTGGAACGGGATGGGGGGGATAAGGCTGGAATGAGACAGGATAAGATGGGATATGATAGGACAGGATAGCCTGGGATGGGACAAACTGGATAGCATGGGATGGGATAGGACGGGATGGAATAAGGTGAGATGGGACAGGGCAGGAGAAGGGATGGGATGGGACAGGCTGGGATGGGAAGGGATGGGAAATGATGGGGTGGGATGGGATAGGACAGTAAGGCTGGGTCGGGACCTGCCGTGGGTGTTGTTGGGGGGGACATTTCTGCAGGAACTGGCTGCCCCAGCGGTGCTGTGGGGTGTCCAGGGGCTGGGGAGCCCTGCGACTCACTGGGAATGGGGGTCCTGGGGGATACTGGGGGCACTGGGATGTGCTGGGAGCACTAAGAGCAGTGAACACTGCTGGGAATACTGGGGATATTGGGGAGACTGGAGATATTGGAGACACTAGGGACACTGAGGATATGGGGAACACTGGGGCTATTTGGGATACTGGTAGCACTGGGGACACTGGGGATATTGGGGGCACCGGGGCGGGCTCATCCCCCCTCCCGCCTCCGCCCCCTCCCCACCCAGGACGCCCGGCGCCGGGCATTGCGCATGCGCAGCGCCGCGCTCCAGTCCCTAACATGGCGCCGCGCGCCCCGCGGCTTCGTCCCCACCCCTGCCCGCTGCGCCCTGCCCAAACCCCTCCGGGTGGCAAAGCGGGGCGGCCCCAGCGTTCCGCGTGCGGAGGCAGAGGGGCGTGGCCAGCGCCGTGGTCCGATCGCGGCTATTGGTCGGGAGGGAGCGGCCGCGGTGGCGCCAGCCAATAGGAGGGCGCCTTCTCGCTCCGGTGTGTGGGGCGCGCCACGTGGGTGGCGCCGGGGCGGGGGGCGGCGCTGAGTCCTGCCCCGACGGCGCGGGCGGCTCGGGGGGCCGGGGGCGCCGCCATGGCCGAGGACGCGGCTGTCACCAGGGTCACCTGCACGGCCCCGGTCAACATGGCGGTCATCAAGTACTGTGAGTGGCCGGGGGGGTCCCCTGCGCGCGGGGAGCCGGGGGGTCCCCCGGGATGGGGGGGTGCCCGGGTGAAGCCCCCGCGCTTGGCTCTGCTGCAGGGGGCAAGCGGGACAACGAGCTCATCCTGCCCATCAACTCCTCGCTCAGCGTCACGCTGCACCAGGACCAGGTGGGCACGGAGCGGGAATTGGAGCGGGAATTGTGCGGGGTGGGGTGGGGGCACGTGGGGGTGCGGGGCACAGAGCGGGAATTGTGCGGGATGGGAAGGGGACACGGGAGTGGGGGTCGCAGCAGGGCCATGTTCCTCCCCATGGATTATCCAGCCATGGAAAACGCTGCTTATTTCTCCATTGGCACCTGTGAGATGCAGCCTTGGCTGCTGGAGCCGCGGGGAAGTGGGGAGGATTTGGGAATTGCGCTCCCGCTTTCCAGCCCCTCGGCACCGCGGGGCGCCGCAGGCTGCAGGACGGGCCCCGTGCCCGGTGCGGGGGTCCCGGTGCCCACACGGTGCCCCACGGCAGCTGAAGGCGACGACCACGGTGGCCGTGAGCAGAGCCTTCCAGGAGGACCGGCTGTGGCTGAACGGCGAGGAGGCCGACGCGGGGCAGCCCCGGCTGCAGGCCTGTCTGCGCGAAGGTGACACCCGCCCGTGCCCCGGCGTCCCCACGGGTGTCCCCACGGGTGTCCCCACGGGTGTCCCCTGCCCGCCCCCTCGTGCCACCGCCTTCTGTCCCCGCAGTGCGGCGCCTGGCGCGGAAGCGCCGCAGCGGCGCCGAGGACGCGGACGCGCCGGGTCTCTCCTACAAGGTGCACGTCGCCAGCGAGAACAACTTCCCCACGGCCGCCGGGCTGGCGTCGTCGGCCGCCGGCTACGCGTGCCTGGGTGAGCGGGCGGCGCCGGGACGGGCGCCGGGACAGGGGCTGCACTGGGATGGGCGTCGGGATGGGCACTGGGATGGGCACCAAGATGGGGACTGGGGCTGCACTGGGGGGGATGCTGGGACAGTCACCAGGATGGGCACTGGGATGGGCACTGGGATGGGGACTGGGGCTGCACTGGGATGGATGCTGGGATGGGCACCAGGATGGGCACTGGGATGGGCACCAGAATGGGCACCAGGGCTGCACTGGGACAGGCGTCAGGATGGGCACCAGGATGGGGACTGGGGCTGCACCGGGATGGGCGCCGGGACAGGCAGTGGGACGGGCCCTAGGATGGGCACCGGGACGGGCAGCAGGATGGACACCAGGTCCACGGCACCGGGATGGGCAGCGGGACAGGCACCAGGTCTGCGCCGGCTCTGACGCGCGCGCCGGGCGCAGTGTCGGCGCTGGCGCGGCTCTACGGCGTGCAGGGCGAGCTGTCGGCGGTGGCGCGGCGCGGCTCGGGCAGCGCCTGCCGCAGCATGCTGGGCGGCTTCGTGCAGTGGCAGCGCGGCGAGCGGGCGGACGGCGAGGACAGCGTGGCGCTGCAGGTGGCCCCCGAGACGCACTGGCCCGAGCTCAGGGTGCTCGTGCTCGTGGTGAGGACGTGGGGGGCACGACGGGGGACGCGGCGGCGCTGTGGGGCTGCCGTGGGGCTGGGCGCCGGGGTGCCGCCTGCCCCATGGCCGTGCCCTGTGTCCCAGGTGAGTGCTGAGAAGAAGCCGGTGGGCAGCACGGCCGGCATGCAGACCAGCGTGGAGACCAGCCCCTTGCTCAAGGTAGGCTGCCCGGACGCCAGGGCCCATCCCGCAGCCTGCCACATGTGGCACATTGGGGTCCGGGCTCCCTTGGGTCCTGCTTTTGTGTCCCACTGGAGACACGGATAGAGGGCACTGCCCACCATGGAGTCATGGGGCTCGGCAGCGTCCTCGTGCCCAGCATTGCCCTGGGCACTCGGCTGCAGCCAGGAGGGAGCCGGAAATGTCCCCGGGAACAGGGATTTTGGCAGGGGGGCCGTCGCGGGTGACGCCGGCGCGTGTGTCGCCGCAGCACCGCGCCGAGGCCCTGGTGCCGGAGCGCGTGGCGCTCATGGCGCGGCACATCCGCGAGCGGGACTTCGAGGCCTTCGGGCAGCTCGCCATGCGCGACAGCAACCAGTTCCACGCCACCTGCCTCGACACCTTCCCGCCCATCTTCTACCTCAATGAGGTGTCGCGCCGCATCATCGCCCTGGTGCACCGCTACAACGGCCACCACGGCCGC